TTGCGATTGCTTTTTGCTATAAGTCTCTATAATTTCTTTAACGGCTGAAATATTCATAAACAGTTGGGGAAAGAATATCATATACATATACCCACAGATACTAAAGAGTTAATATAGAATCATATAAAAATATAGAATCTTTGCTCAAATTAGTTCAGAAGAGTTTTTAATAGATTTTTATGGTATAGGTAAAAAAGTAAAATGTTGAAAAATTTCCTTTATAAATATCGCGCTGCATTGTATTTTATAGGTTAAATACAGTGCAAGTTTAGCTCTTCAACAAACAAACACAAGAAAAAAACTATCGATGGATTGTTCAGTCTGAAAACACAGCATTTGTCTAAAAAAGTCCCGTAGTAATTTTTTGATATGCGATTACGGCGAGAAAATAAAGAGAGATTAACAGTTGGGTCATCTAGTTTAATCTAAGCTTACCATCAAAGAACGTATAAAGTATTTTGCTGTATTACAATATTATTAATATGTCAGTTGTTTGTTACATAGCACCTGTTACTAGTAGAAGAAGTCAAATTATTTAGAAATTGTTTTTCGTTCCAAATTATTCACCTAGAAAATTAGACAAAAAAATTCTTTTAATTTAATATTTGGTTATTTAAATAAAATAAAAAATAATTGTTTACCTCAATTTCAATTTTAATTTTTATATTATTATTTTTCTTGATATTTATTTATAACTAATAACGTTTATTGTGAATAAACAAAAGTAAAGAAATGTGACAGCATGTCTGAATTATTCTCGAAAATAAAAGAGAAAAAAAAGTGAAATTTTATTTTCTTAATTTTTTCTAGTGGTCATGGCTGTATATAGAGAAGAATTCAAGTATAACCTTGTGTACAGAATAAATTTTTTGATTTTCAAATATAGAAGGTCTTACAAAACTCATTCATTATTAATAGAATAAAATTATGTCGAAAATGGTTTTAAATTTAAAAATTATTTGAAAGAGAAAATGTACAATACAAAAATGGCATGCACATTTTAAGCATATTACAGCGATGAAAATATTTAAGGAAATTTTAAAAATATTAAAATAAAATTCATTTAAACTCAACTTTTGCCAAATACAAACTACTATTAATTAAGATATAATTACATTTGTAAGAAAATTTTAAAAAATTGAAAAAAAAAGTGTCTGGGTTTCATCTCTCTTTCTGTTAATTAATTTTTATCTTAAATCTCTAGGGCTTTCTAAATTAAATCAACTATAAGCCAAAACTTATAAGAATTTTTAAAAATAAAATTCCATTTTTTTTGAACTTTTACTGCGAGAACTACAGTTCCATCAGTTCCACCATCGCTAATTTCTGTAGAAGTTCAAAAATCAAAAAGCATAATGACTTCAATGTCTTCTAATTTAACTATAATACAACATACACTCATTTTGATATTTTGCTTATATCTTTGAGCTATACGGCAAAAAATAAGAAAATCATGAAAAATTTTGAATAAATTTAGATCAAGTCAAAATTTTGCAAAGTAGCACTCATCCGTTTGTATAAGTGAAAATCTTTTTTTGAAAAAAATTACTTTAATTATTACATTAAAATATATTGCATACATTTCGGATGAGAGAAGAAAAAATGTCAAAAATATATTGGTCGAAATCAAGAGTTAACTAGGATTAGAATACTTTTATAGAAAATTAGTAAAACCTGCAGTTTCGGGAAAAATTACAAGCCAAAATTTACAATATTTTTTGTTAATGTTAAGTACAAAAGATAAAGAAATGGGGAAAAAAAATTTATTTCGAGATTCTTTGATTTCAACAAAGTGAGAACGTGTTTAAGAAAAAAAAAACCAAGGTGAAATTTGAAAACAAACGAAATTGAGTTAATGAACAATTTCAGTAGTCAATAGTCATATTCTTCTAAATATCAATGATCTCTGGCCGTAACGTTTCCCGATAAAAGGAGAAAAAAATAAAGTAAGTTTCTTGTAAATCTATTTGTATATAAAATTTCGATTTTCTTTATCTATAAAGGATCAAGAACTTATATAAATAAAACTGTAAGGGAGGACGAACTGATATGTAGATGAACATACGGATGGACAGACAGATCGAATTAAATGAAGCGCTAAACATATTTAATTTGGAACACAGCTATTATTTATGATTTTTTTTTGTATGAAAAAAGCTGAAATTCTTAAATTTTTCTACCATAAAATATTTACAAGTAAATAAAAACAACATCATTTTACTGCCATACATATATTTTTGGATAATTAAATAAAAATCTACAAAAAAAAAATTAAAAATAAAAATAAATTTTGTTTTGAATAAATTCAAATTGGAAAAAGAAATAAAAAATGAAATTAAAAGAATTTCCAATTGAACTGAAAATAAATTTGCAAAATTTAAAATCAATAAATAAATTATATTATTATCAATATATAGATTATGTTTGTGTGTATGTGTTAAAATTATTGGAAATTGCACAATATAAATATGGTATACTGATATATTATGCGTAGTCTAATCAAATACGTAAATTGTGTATAAGGAAATTAACACTATTCAAAAAAAAAAATATTTTTTTTCTAATGTAAACATGCTTTCTTACAAATTTAATTATGCTTGTATGCTGTCCTAATTAAAAAATATAAATTCAAAATTAATGTAATTAAAATAGAAATTAATTTATATTATGCATATCCCGTTTTTTTATAATTATGAAATAAATTTTCGAATTCGTACATAAATTAATATTTAATTTAAAAAATATTATTCTAATTAATATGAAAATTATAATCAAAATTAATTATTAAAGCTATAATTATGATCTAATATAATTTATCAAATGTACATATACAAAATATTTAGTACATTTACATGTACATAATATGTATGTTTATATATTTATTATTATCTTTTTCGAAAGCAAAGCTGGCGACATTTATTATAGAAAATTTAAATTTCTTTCTGCTATTCTAACTAAAAGAAATTAATTTTCAGCACTTTTCGTCGTCACGTATCTTCGTTATTCATGTATAAATGGATCTTTATTATAAATTTATTTCAGTATAAGAAAATTTTTATCTATTTCCCCCTCCTTCTCCCTAGGTAGGGAGAAGGAGGGCTATAACTTTTAGAGTAGGGGAACTACTCTAAAAGTTATAGCCCTTCAAGGACCTGAAAATTTTATTTATTGATTTTATTTATTTATTTATTTCAGAAAAACCATAAATGCAGAAAAATAGTAGCTGGTTTCTTCTGCCGCGTAGCATGGCTAATTATAATAAAATATTAAAAAGACTGCTAAAATTATCCGTTACTGAAGGTCCTTTTTTTTAAATTTCTGATATCGTTTTTCTTCTAGACAATCAGTTGTAGAGGTCTGAAATTTTACAAGCTTCTAGATATTAAAAAAGAATTTATTTCTTTATAACAAAATTTTTTTCTACCTCTACTCCCTCTCGAAGTTACAGCCTCTCGAAATTTGTAAAATTTGAATTTTCGGCGTCTTCCGAGACAGGAAACTTTTCTAAATTTCTTTAAATACAGAAATCTAACGGTAAATGGCATGCTATCAAAAAATGCAATTATTTTTCTTAACTGGAATTAAGTAACCCTGGACTTCGAACTTTATTTTAATTACTCTTTTAATTTTTTTTTTCATCCTAAATTTATGCAATTTTAGAATTATTTTTGTGTACGAATGAAAGTAATTTTAATAAGGTAATAAAATTGTTTCTTGTTAAAAGGAAAAAGTGATACTTTACAAACCACCCAAACTTTATTTAAATTTTATTTCACTCTTTATTTATTAAGTGATCACATTTTAAGAACGCAAAATTCTTTTGGTAAGCTTGTTTTCCATGATATACATATAATATATTTCAACATATTGAAGCCCATAATCAAAAATTTAGTCGATCAAGCCATTGATTTACAGTTTATATGTACACATTTCTATTGTTTATAATTGAAGTTAATTTGAAACTATTTGCTGCAGTAGTTACAGAAATGCTAAGAACATAACTATGATATTTTAATTAAAAAACACATTAAAATTAAAACTAATTTTAAATAACTTTAGTTATGGAATTGGCTATATGGAAATTTTATAGTTAGTTAAATCGTATGTGACAGGGAGAATTTTTTTCTAGAGAAAAAATATCTTCACTAAAATTCGTTCTGTGTACAAAATTTCATCTTTTAAATGGTTACCTTGAGTATTGTTAATTTTTAAACTTCTTCATAATTCTAATCGTATATTTTTAATACTACAATATGTACATGAAATTTCGTCAGGAGTTCATGTTAAATTCGCAATACTATTTTTATATACCTTTATAGAAATATAGTTTTTGTTTGTTTTGTTTGGATTCAAACAAAATACAATTGGGTATTAAACCAGAGTGGAAAAATAAATTTATTATTGAATTATTTATATTATTTAGGTTATGAGTGAATCAAGATTTTTAGAAGCTTAACAATTAGATTTCCAAAATTGATTCAAAAAAATAGAAAATGAAATTTCATATATAGAATATTTTATTTATTAATTTGAAAGAATTCACCTTGTTAACGAAAGACCACTTCGAAATCAAAAAAAAACCATCCAATAAAATTATTTTTGCAAATATGTATGCATATATGTGGTTGTGTATGTATAATAATTTTAATTTATAAATTAATATGTAAACAGAAAATTTAAAATAACAAAATAAAAAAAATTTTTTTTTGAAATCGTTTTTATAAACAAAAAATTTTTCATTTCCAAAAATAATATTTTTAATTTTTTTTCTTCTCTTATTTTCGTTTTTCTCGCTATATACTTATAATATACACTTAAATATGCTGATATGTATGTATGTGTCATAATTATATGTACATTTCATATTTACATACATCGAAGAAAATATATTTTCAAAAAAAAAAAAAAAAAAAAACAAAAAATTGATTTTTTTTTTAATTTTAAAAATTTATTTTTTTTTTTTTGTTTTCCTTCACCTATAATATTAAAATTGAAAATTTTCATTTTTAGACGATCACGAACTAGTGTAGAGTGAACTTCTTATTCGAATTTCGGGTGAATTGAAAAACCATCGCATATACAAAAAATTAAAAACCGTATATATTTGAAAAAACAAACAAAAAAATTGCAAAAAAAAAAAAATTTATAATCGAATTTTAATTTTAATTTTTTGTATTAACGCAACACAGCACCACCGACTCAAAATCTAAATTTCTAATCTAAAAAAAAAAATTTTTAAGCGAATTATTTAACAAAAAAAAAAAAAATTAAAACATAAAATTACAAAAATGGTTTACACAAGTGATTATTACACGACCAGGTCTTATTCATCAAGACCAGTAGTTTCTTCGTATACAGTTTCGGTAAGAATAATGTATATACATACAATTTATATATATATATATATATATACATAATTATATTTAAAATATTGAATAATTTAAAATCAATAAAATTAAAATTTTAAATTTGAAATAATTTTTTTTTGGTTTGTTTTTTTTTTTTTTTTTTGTTGGAATAAAATGCATTATACAAAATTTTTTGTTAAATTTCCCTTTTTTAATACAATGAATTCTTAATTTTTAATTTTTTTTTTTATCTCTTCTAAAATTAACACATTAAATTTATATTAAAATATTAAAAATTAAATGAAATTTTTTTAAAAATTATAAAAAAAATTAATTAATAAAAAGTATTTTTTTTTTTTTGACATTTCCAATTTATTTGTTTGATAAACGGCAATTGTGATCTATTTACTCTTTAATTGTATTAAGAGATATTGAGAAAAAACAAAATTGCTATGATCAATTCACAATAAACTGAAATGAAGAAGAAGAAGAAAACTAAATTATATTCAAAAAGATGCGTCTTAAATGAATTTTTTTTTTTTTCGAAATAAATATTAAAAAATTTTAAAAATTTTAAAAATGAATGAGTGCAAAATATATATATATATAAAAAATAAGTAAAAATAAAAAATTTTCAATCGAATATTTTCCTCGAAAATGCAAGAAAATAATTGCAAAAAAAAAAAAACACACAAAAATTTTTACTTTTCCTAATTTATTAAGAAATTTCTTGCAATATTTTAATTTTAAAATAAAATATATGTCATATAATAGTATATATTATATAACACAAATATAGTGGTTACTTATTAATTCTGTTATATAAAAAATCGAAAAAAAAAATTGTATATATGTAATGTTATATATTTCTTTATATAGGAACTTTCATAAGTATATCTCATATTATTTAAATTTTAAAAATATTTCAAAAAATTATAACCATTATAAAACTAAAAAAAAAATAAAGAAATAATGTGGCAGTGACAAATTTAAAAACAAAAACATTTAAAGTGTGATTTAATAATTATATTTTGTTTTTTAATATTTTTTCATATTAATATTGTGAATTGTTTTTAATACGAGTATCATTTGTAATATAACAATTAAAATTACTACGTATACTTAATGTTTAAAAATGTATACATCAAATTTTATTTAAAAATTTTGAAAAATATAACAATTATCTTAATTATTAGAAAATTTTTAAGTATTTATTTTAAGAATTTTAAATAAAAATTATATTGAAAACTATAAAAAATAAAAGTATGCGTAGTAAATTTAAAAAAAAATATATAATAGTTTTGAAAAAAAAAAAAAAAAACTATTTAAGTACAATAAAATAAACTATTTGAACAATTTTAATGAATGATATTAGTAAAAATTAAATAAAAACTTTCATACATGCTTAACAAGAATAAAAGAATAAAATATTTTAAATAAGACATTGAAAATTTGTTACATAACTATTAAAATAATTGAAAAGAACGAAAAAATAAAAAAAAATTTATTAAAGAATTTTTTGTTTTTTGTTTAAATAATGCTTTTTAATTATTATAAAGCTTTGCTAATTATTTAATTTATTTAAAATTGTGTATAACAGTTTTCAATAATAATTTCATTATTTTTTTTTTTTTTTATAATGCATGATAATTAATATATATAAAATTTTTAATATGAAAAATTTTTTTTTGTTAATTTTTCCTTTTTCCATTTTTACATTTTGTTATTCGTTAAAAAAACTGGAAATGTGCATGCGATTTTATAAAAAGAGTAAAATTAAACTGAAATTGTAATATTAATCATATGTCGTTCAATTAGCTTGAAAATATTCTAAATTTTGTATTAAGAGTACAATTTAGTTCTCATATACGTTAGGGAACATTTAGTTCCTACATATATATTTTGAATTTCTGTTAATTATATACTTTTAAAATTTGAAATATAGTTAGTTAAAATAAAACAATTACGAGTATTAGGTTCATATTTATGTTAGAATTTTGTTATTACAATTAAATATTTATTTATGAAGAGTATAATGAATTCAGTCGGGTAGACAGTCCAACCATAATTAATAACAATTAATAACTATAATACTTAAAATTATTAAAAAATTATAAATATTGATAATTTTTTGAGCTTAAACATTTTATTACAGCTTAAGCCTTTAAAATCTTGATATAAAAAAATGTTTTTTTTCTTTCGATATATTTTCTGTATAAATAAAAGCTTTTTTAACGGCTAACGAATTATATTAAACCTCTCCAATGGTGTTCTTACAAAATATTTGTTTAAAGTTTCTACCTTTTTTTTTGAAAAGAAAATTATAAGTAAAAAGGCTTGGATATGTTAAAATTTCGGTCACTTTTTTTTAGAATTCATATAACACAGGAACGGTTTTGATTTGAATTATATACATAAAAGTGTTTCTATATTGGGATATAATTTTCTCTATTTTAAACTTATTTAGTAAATTAAGAAAATTGTTATTTTATAATTAATAATTTTTATTAAATTTAATAATTATTATAAACTCGGCAACGAAAATTTTGAAAATTTCAATATAAAATTTTGTTTATATGACTTTACACTGGAAAAAATAAAATGTATTTTTTCCTATATTAAGAAAATAAAACATAAGTATTTAAAGGATAATCTGATTAGGAAATATGCCAATTTTCCTAGAAATTAATTTGTCAATAACAATAATAATAAAAATGAAAACTATTTGTTGTTTTAAAAAGAAAAAAATTCATTTTTAATTTTAGTTTAGTCAAAAAAATCATTTAAAATTTCAAGAAGCCTAAAAAATATTTTACCAGAAAATCTTATTAATTTTAATTAGTTAAACACTTAATTTTAGTAAATACTATTAAAAATAACTTATATAAAAGTCAAGGCTTCCTTGTTTTTCTATCTATTAAAATTTCATTCTTTTAATTGTTATAAATTTTAACCAAAAATAAATGTTATATATTGGCTATGTTGTTATAAATGAAGGTTAAACACCAAAAAACAAAAACAACAACATTTTATTCAACAAAATTTTCTCTTACTCCTACTACAATCTCACTATACATAAGTATTTCTAGAAGTTTGTACATACATATATACAAATATAAATTCCAAATAACATAAAATAATTATAACACATAAGAGCAAACCATCAATGGCATGGTGTCACTTAGGAAAGTTAATAAAAAAAAAATATATATAAGAAAATTGTAAATTTAGAAAATTTGTTTTTAGTTTTTTTCGTCCAAAAAATCTTGTCAAAATTTGAGATGTTCAATATATGAGATCATTGATAAAATAAATGAAAAAAAAAAAAAAAAATGAAGGAGGAGAGAAAATTATAATTTCTAAAAATTTTTGAAAGAAATTCTCAGAAAAAATATTTTTTTTTCATTTTGTTTTTGCCAAACAATTAAAATTTTTAAATTGGAAATTTTTAAATTTAATTAAATTTTATTTTAAATCTGAATAATAAACGAGATCTTTATTACATAAAAATATTTTTATTGACAATTAAAAATTTTTATTGAATAATTGAACTTTTAAGTACTCAATTTTATACTATATCTTACATATGTATAGGTGTATATTCCAAAATGACCTTAATAGCATAGGATGTTAATTTTGAAGCCATTTTACTTTTGATATGTTGAGGTTACATGCTGAATTTCATTGAGTTCAACCAAAAATTAAATTTGAACTCGATTTTCTCAAACTAATTTAATTATATATATATATATATACTAGTATATATATATATGTATTCGAAAATTCTATATAACTTAACTTTCATGTCAGAGTGTATAAAATTGAAAATTTCAATGTTTCCTAATTTGTATGAAACAAAAATCTCAAGCATATGTGTAAATTTATTAAGTCACAATTGTAATCAATAACATTAGAATATTATAAAAAACAAAGCTTAGAGAAAGAGCTCGAAACTCCTCGAATATTTCGAGATTCGAAGATGAAAGTTCTTCTGAAAAGGCAACATGCACGCATATGAATATGAATACAAAATAATGAATGCAATTTTTTGAATTGATTGGCAACTGCAAAAATATATCGTTTGTTTTGTAAATTTAGCTAAGTAATTTTTGAAAATACAATTCTAGTACTTAATTGAAATTGTCATTATTCTATTCATCTTAATGCCTTGTTCTATTTGTTCTAAAGAAATTCATAAAAGTTATAAATTTGATTATCCTGATTGAAGAAAATATATGTAGAGTAAAATTTTAAAAAATTTAAAAAAAAAAAAATTATTCGACCTCCATCTTGTTTAATAACACTAAATAAAAATGCAATATTATGTGAAATTACTGAAATACCTTATTGGATTTTATCTAAGATATTGGGAAATGTCTTAGTTTTTGAAAAAGCTCTTACTGCTGTTCTACACATTTAGGCATGTCTTATTAAACATAAACACTATACATTCTAGTACTGCTGTTAGTAAGTTATAGAACTAGCTGATTAAATTGCTGAACTGAAGATTCAATAATTTATAGCAATATTGCCTAGTTGCTTTAAGGCATAAATTAAGTTGATATTGGATTTGAATTTTCATTTTCGACAGAAGGATTTTAAATAAAAATTTTATGAAAATTATAGGTACTCGTATATTGATTCCAAAATTATTTCAAATGCTTTATTAAGAATTTTTGATATAAGTATGTGGTTATGAATTTTTACTGTGACTCTAACAGTTACATTATTTATATATACATACATACAAACTTAATCAAATCGCGGCATTATAAATTTTTTTAAATTACATTTTTTTTTTTTAATAAAATGGTTGGCAACCAAATTTTCCAAATTATTTCTTTTATTACCTTTATACATATTTACAAATGGATCAAATTACCACCAAAGAGAAAATATTTTCGTTTTTTCTTTTTTCGTTGCCTATATTTCATTTTCATTTTATATACGAGTATTTTTGACTCGCCCGCAAAATTTAATTTTTCAAAATCTGGAAAAAAAAAGAATACAATTTT